GACACCCGGATCGTCCACTTTGAGCCTATATACCTCACTTTCTGTAATAGATATCAAAAAGTGACTAACTAGTAAAATGTTGCTGATATCCTGATAAACATTTTACTAGTTAACCACTTTTTGATATCTTTCAAAAGAAGTGAGATATATAGGCTCAAAGTGGACGATCCGGGTGTCGTTCTATTAGAGGTTTTACGGTATTTTGAATTCTCAAAATTACTGTAAATGTTCTAAGACAATCTATACTTTTCAAAAGTTCAACCCCTCGAGGGGCTTATTTGAAAAAATTTTTGAAAAAATGTTTTTTCTGATTTTTGACTACAACACAACTATAATCGAATTGAAGGAATTTAGTTGTTAATGGAATTACAAACAACTTGAAGCAGTGAAAAAAACTTAATAGACCGACACCCTATACACAAATTTGAGCTCAATTATCTTGGTTCGTAAAGGGGATATCAAAACTTTGTTAATTGATAATATGTTGGTGATATTATGATAAATATTTTATCATTTGACAAATTTTCGATATCTCTTATAGGAACCGAAATAATTGAGATTACATTGCAAGTATGAAGCGATGTTATATCCGAAAATAAGAAATTGAAGCTATACCAACCAACTTTGATTTCACAACAAAATGAAACCGGAAAATTTTCGTGTTTTTCAAAATAGCAAGAGCCCAAGGTGATAAAGAACAACTGTCATTCCTTAGTGTAATGGTCATCAGAAGATTTCGAAATTTCCAGAAACTTAAAGAAAATCTTGCTCATCGAGATTCTTACTCAACACTGAGGAGGAAAGAAAGTGCAATGAATAAAGCCAAAGCTATATTCCAAAAGACTGGTTGAGACACAGATCCCCCATCCCGAAAAAAGAGCCGAGAGAGTACACGAATCAGAGAGAGTTGGCAGACAACCAAGATAGTCGAGATCAACGGCAGAAGGGGAGCTTTACACAAATTGCACACACACATACTGAACACATTGTCTATTTCTTCCCGACGGGAAGGGAAGAAGGGATAGATCCTCCACCCCCGGGAGGAGGGAGGGAGCAGAGGGAAGAAGAAGAGATAGATGGATACAGTGGGAGGGCAGTTGAAAAGCTCAGAGCTCAGAGGGAATGGCAAACACCCATTTGATTTGCGCAACGGGAGGGAATCGAAGGTGATTTTAAACTTTTTGTGGGTTAGGTGGAGATAGTGTAATTTTGGGAGTTTTGGGTTTGGAGGTTGTGAAATGGATAATAGTGACGTCCGAAGCATTAACCCAGTGCTATGACAGTATCTAAATATGAGAATTAAGATACAGAAAAAATATAGCAACAAGGAAGTATGCAGTTAAACTTTTTTTGTTAGATGTAGTATGTGTAATTTTGTGAATTCGAAATTTTGGGTTTGGAGGTTGTGAAACAGGAATAAACATAGCTCGAAGTGTATTGTAGTATGATTTCAACGTAATTCGGATATGAACCATTTAGATATGTACCATTGGAAACAGAGAAAAAATATCGCCGTAACCTAATTTGGAAATCCACAAACTTAACTTCTCAAAAGAGGCTTACTTGAAGGGAATAATTTGAAAAATGTTAAAATAAGGAATAATTTGAAACATGTTTGAATGAAATTTCTTTGGTTTCAGATAATGTAAATTGGAAGCTGGGAAATTGCAAAAAATTTGATCGACCACAAAAACTTGGCATTTTGGATGTACTGTTGAATCTTCAAGTGCAATGAATAAATTTTGAATATTATTTTTTTCAGTTTCATAATGAAGATATCAGCATTGTGAAACAGTAAATATGTTAATGGAATAGGGCTGATTCTCAACGGCATTAGTTGAATCCAAACGGCTTATCTCATTTGGTTAAATTTGTACAAAAAAGGTGTCAATTACAAAATTGAAGATCTATTTTTGTTTAGTAGATCTGAAAAATTTTTTCATCCAATAATATCTCCGGTACTTTTTGGGCATCCAGAGTTATTTTTAACTGAAAATTAATTAAATCAGTAAGATGAACTACCAAAAACTACATATCCACTGTTTCATAATTCTCATATCTGCATTTTGAAATCGAAGAATTATTGCCATTGCTGATAATTTAGATTTGAATATTCAATAGAAACGGTAGATAACAAATTATCGCAAATTTGGAATTGAAAATTAGAATTATGAAAAAAAAACTGTAGATATGTTCTCGTATAGTTTTGGATCGGGCATGGTTGCACTGGATTGACTGACCAAATAGATAGGAAATGACAGAAAAAAACAGAAAAAAAAATATTAAGAAAACTTTTCTGCAGTTTAAAAACCTAGGTTAAAACATTACTTCGTTGGTACATTAATCATTTACAATTATTTAAATTGAAATTTTAAATAAAACGAAAAAATATTTTGCAAGCACAATAAACTCGTCAACCACACATTTAAAAAAAAGTATTATGATTTTAATGAAAAGTTTTAATGAAAATTGGAATAAGCTACATTAATCGCAGTTTCGAAATCCAGATGTGAGGAAATAAAAGGCGCAAAATCAGTTTTGCAACAGAAAAGAACTTTGAATTGAACAAAAATAATTATCTGATTTATCTAATTTTTCGAAATCTGTTTAACGGCTAATTAGTTTTCAAAATTCATAAAAATATAGATAAATGTTCAAATTGAACCGTATATGATAGTCGTTTGAAATTCGACCTAACAAACTTAACTTTTATAATTCTAACATTTCCCACACTATCCTAAATTTAAAGCATAAACTAGTTTCCAATCTGTGAGTTTAACTAAGTGTTCGGGAGCCCCTGAATGAGGGAGAGAGAAAGAGAGGGAGAGAGAGAGAGAGAGAGAGAGAGAGAGAGAGAGAGAACACACCTCCAGAGGTTGTGAGTAAGTGACAAGTCAACAAATCACTTTTTTACACTTTTTCGAATTGGAACGGGATGGAGGAATTGAGTGGTAGAGAAGAAATGAATAGAACTGAACGAAATGGAACACTAGGCGTAATCTATCATGGCCGGTCATTCATGCATTATTTTTTTAGGATTCTTCCCGGGAGACAGATATGATGAATGCTCTCGAGTGGGAGGATAGAGTGATCAAGTGGTGAGAAAAGGAGGAACACGTCATAATAGGAACAGGAGACTAGGCTGTCATTCTGGGAAAATGGAACCTTTAATAGAAGGGCATATACCGTTTTTAACCTATTAATTGAACATATGGAAAATTCTGAAAAGAAAATGAAATAGATGTGAAACATGGAATTTTTTTCAAAAATTTCGAATGATTAGTCACAACCCATTATTTCCTAGCTAATTTTTGAATATAATCAGTTCAAATTGAAAAAATGAAAAAGTATAGGTTATGATTTTCCATTCCCAAACGTCTCAATCGAAGTTTTCACTTTATTTCCAGTATATACTTCTTTCAAATTCTTCTAGTTCTCCTTGCCGACAAATTCATTTTTTCGATTCCTCTTCAAATCCTCTCCAAAGTTTCCTTTTTCGATTTTCGATTCTTGAAACATTTTGTAACTTTTTTTGGCGTCTATTGACCTGCATTGCTATATTTTTTAAAATGCTTGTAACTTGAAGGATTTGTTTTTGAAAGAAAATTCCATTTGCTGTTTCAAAAATATTGGAATTTTTTCTCTGTTTGTTGTTTCAATAAGTAACCTTCTATATTGATTATAAGTTTTTTAATAGTTCCACTTCCTTTTGAATTCAAGAAAAAATGTTTCTTAGTGTTCCCAACAACCCATATTATAAGCAAGGGGTTATAAATATGATTTGCCTATACGTTTAACAAAAACACAGCGACAAAATTATTCCGTGTGGTAACTTCCCCATAATAGTTTAACAAAAGTTTAGGGAATATGAAATTTTAGACTTCTTTATGTATTTTAGAATGGAAAATTCTCACGTATTTTCATGATTCCATGGGAATTATTATGTTTGCACTATTCTCGTTCAATCAACTTTTTTAAAAGTTCCCAACTTTCATGAAAGTTCGAAAACATTAATTTTCGAAACGAAAATAATTATAGTTTCTGATTTTCCATTTCCAAACGTTCCAATCAAAGTTTTCACTTTATTTTCAATAAGCCTTTTCAAAATTCCTCTAATTCTCCTTGCCGATATATTTCCTTCTCCTTTGATTCCTCTTCACATCCTCTCAAAAGGCCACTTTTTCGATTTTCGATTCTCGAAACATCTAGCATCCTTTTTGGCGTCATTTGACCTGTATTTCTACAATTCTCAATAATGCCTGTAACATGAAGTGTTCATGAAAAAATTCAATTTAAAGGTACTGTTTCAAATACACTGTAACTGCTGCTTTTTGTTCTTACAATCTTGAAGGAAGTGGAATAGAAAGGACAACAGAGAATTGATTAACAATTAACAAGGGAACCTCAACACCTCACAAACCCAGATTTTAATGAAAATTTCAGGATAGGTTGGAAATTGCCTCTCTAGACATTTCTGAAAATTTTAGAGTCCGCCCGCCAGTTTCAGCCGAGTTATATCAGTTTCAGTACCAGAAATCGCCGTTTCAGTGCAAAAGCAGCGTTTTCAAAGACGATTTTCTCGAGTTCTAAGACGTTTCAAAGCATGAAATTTGTTGTGTTATACTCAAATTTTAATGAAATTTGATATTTCAAACTTTTTCTCAAGAACAAAAATATTTTTTATTTCTGAATTTTTTCACGATTTTCCAGATTTCTTCGTAAATTGAAAAAAAGGTTTTTTTTTTGAGAAAAAGTTTGAAA